GTGTGTATGATATGTCAAAATACATTCTACTGTCATTTATAACTAGAAAGAACAAATAAATAATTTTTAAAAAAGAAGTGATTCAGATGCTGGTTGCTCCAGTTGCACTGAAGGGCCTGAAGTGCTTACCTTCAGATTGGAGACTGGTGAAGATCCAGGTGCTTCATGGGGGGAGGTCGGGGCTGAAATCACATGATTCTCACCTTCAAACTTATCATCTCTCTGCCATCTGACCTGGTATGGCTGTGTAAGGAAACTGTGAAGATGAAGTATCATCTACTGTTAAGTTTTTCTCTTTGCTGGGGTTTTGTGGGTATCTTCTCAGGAGCTGGACCTCAGCCTCACCCATATGTGCTTACCTAGGAATGGGTCAACAGCTGAAAGCTTATGTCCCCCATTTTCCTTCAGTAGAAGTGTGTGCCAGGGTTCAAGTGGACTGGGTTTGGTCAAAACTGGGCTTAACTCCTCTCTGCTGASCTGGGAATCAGGCAGAGCACCTGCCCAATGTACATGAGACCCTGGGCTCAATCCCAGTACCAGAAAGAAAACAGAGGACTAAAAAAATAAAGAATAAAAATATATATTATGAATAGAAATAAAAAGGGAAAAATGAGAAAGAAGAGAAAAATMCAACTAAAGAATAAAAACATAGGGTAAGCCAGTCACTGTGGCACATGCCTGTAAAACTAGCAGTTCGGGAGGCTGAGGCGGGAGGATTGCAAGTTCAAAGCCAGCCTCAGCAAAAGCGAGACTAAGCAACTCGTTGAGATGCTGTCTCTAAACAAAATACAAAGTAGGGCTGGGGCTGTGGCTCAGTGGTTGAGTTCAATCCGTGGTAGCCTCCCCCTTAAAAAGGTAAAATAAAATAAGGAAAATATTAATGAGAAATGAAGAATAATAATAAAAGATTGAATAGATGGAGAAAAATATAAAAAAATCCTCCTCTTGGTGTTTTCGGAAATGCTGGGATTCTTCTAAGGTAAGAATATGCCAGGTATGTGGCAGGTGGGTAGTGGGTAGCATTTGCAAGTCCTCTCAACTCTAACCAAGTGAGTTGGGATGGAGTACAGGCTGCACCCCTTGTTTCTTGTTGAACAGGTTAAGATAATGTTGACTGTGCCAGGTGTGTATTCTYTCTAGAAGATTTTAGTTTGCATACGCAGGGGCATGGCAATGTCTAGGCCAAGTTGGCCCTGGGATGCCTCTGAGGGTGAGGGGAGCAATTGAACCACTGAGCTCTGTGCTGGGGTGGGGATCTGTGGCGTGGGGGCAGGTGAGCAAGAGCTGAACAATTTGCTATCCTCAGTCCCAGGGCCTAGCCGCCCCCCACCAGAAACCACACGTGAGAAGTGTTGCTTCCCAACACAGAGGGCAGGATTATTGAATCACGATGGCCTCCCTGTCCTTCCCCATCCTAGCTTATGCTCTCCACTGCATAAACTTCTGAGCAAGTTTGTGTCAGAATACTGAAAGCCACCACTGAGTTGTGTGGCCACTGCCAACACAATCAGGGCAATGAGGTGTGTGTAGAAGTCTGAGATGTGATTGTGCTGGGTTTTCTGATGCCCAGAGCAGTTTAACCCCTAACGTAAGAGCTCTTTTCGAGATGACCACTGGATGGGAGTACTCTGGGAGTTTGCTGAGGTGCAGTAAATTTCTTTTCTGTATCTAGCTTGTTGTTTAGGCTCCAGGTCACCTACTGATTTAAACTGCTTGTCTGCCAGGTACAGACTTCTGCTATGACCCTCTTTTACCTTTATTTCCCTGGACGATCCTTTTCCCTTGATGAAGATCCCAGGTGTCAGTAATTGGGATTTTCCATTTGCTTTGTTATTATCACTAGTTTCTGGAGTCGGCAGGTTTCATTTTCTGTGCCATCAATTTCCAGCGCTCACCCATAGCTGCTCACCTCCACAAGCAGTTAGACACCTGTTGCTTATTTTCTAACTAAGAACACTAGTGCTGAGCATCTAGCCCACATCTTGAGCTTTTCTACATCCTATTTTTTACTTTGAAAGTTAAATGCTAWTCAAAATTTAGATAGTTGGATTGTATTCAAACATTAAACAAGTTTTGGATTTTTTGTCATCACTTCCACCTCTTGAATCTTTTTATTTTGTGTGTATATATGTGCATGTGTGGTACCAGGGATTGAACCCAGGGATACTGTTACCACTGAGCTACAGCCTCAGCCCTTTTTATTTATTTTTGAGACAGGGTCTCATTAAATTGCCAAGGTTGGCCTTGAACTTGTGATCCTCTTGCCCTAGTCTCCTGAGTAGCTTGGAGTACAAGCCTATGCCACCACACCCAGAACCACTTCCTGAATCTTTGTCAGCTTTTCAGTGTGTCTACTGCTTCCTGCTTTTTTGCTTCCTCATTTGCCTTCATCTTCGCATGGTACTCATCAGCTAGGGATTTCCATTCCATTCTGTTATTCTGAAGATCATTTGGTATACATGTGATTTTTCTGTGAAACTGTTGACATTTGCTAACCTTTGGTGTGACCACCTCTCAGGTACATCATATCATGGTAGATGATAGTGGCAGGAGCATGTAAGCTTTTTTTTTTGGTGATCCTGCCTCAGCCTCCCAAGTTGCTGGGATCACAGGCATGGGCCATTATGTCTGGTCGTAAGCTTTTGATTAGTTTCAAGTTGTTCTGAAAAAGTTGTTCCTGACAGTTTTTTCTTTCCAGTTTGTTCATTGCTTTGACTAGACTGATATTTGGAATTCCCTATTTTATTGTTTTTTGATATCCTATACTTTAGTAAACCTAAAAAATTCATCTATTTTTTAGCTGCACAATACCACTCTAGTTCTAGTTCTTATTACATCATGTCTATTTTAGGAACTCTTAAACTGACCTCTCTAGTATATCAGGGCTTCTTCAATTCTGTGACTTCCCTACTGAGAAAGTTCACAGTTCCTCCTTGTGTGTCAAATGATGTCTCCAGGCTCCAGTCCTAGCCTGGCTTTCCAGATTTCTCACTGTTCCTTGTGACCTCACATACTTTGATGAAGCCACGCCACTAGCTTCTCCCAGTATGCAATTTGTTTTCCACTGTCCACTCATTTATCTCCATTAATGCTGTTTGCTCCACATCTGGATTGACCCCTACCCTCACCTCTGCTTACTGAAACACTACCCATCTCTTAAGAATCAACTTAAATAAAGTGTTTCTATGAGGTCATTCCTGTGCTAGTTCTACCATTTCTCCATTGAGTGATCTGGGGTTGATTGACAGCTGAGCCCGACAAAATTTCTTTTTCTACTGTGTATGCATCAGTTCCCCTCCAGCAAGAAAACGCACAGAATTGGCGCAAACCACAATGCTAATGATGTATCAATTAGCAACAGGTTTACTTAGTCYGTCCTTTGGGCTACTGCGCATGCCCAAGATCCGCGACTTTCACTATCCGTCCTGTGGTTGTCTGGCTTCCTCCTTTCGGGCCTAGGCTGATCCGTTTCCCCTCTGAGGAGTTTCAGGTAGTGCTGCGGCCCTAGGGGTAAATGTCCTCTCGTTTGCCTCTTATGTCCGTTCCTGGTGCCCTGTCTATCTCCTACCTAACACTTCCACTAAACTGCTATGACGTTTTTATCACCTATTCCTTTCTTTCAGTAAATATTTGGTAATACTTAGTCTTTGCCAGGGCCAATAGGAAAAATTGAACAATACATCTATTTGATAATTAATAATTATTATGTAATAGTTATATGATTATTATATACTTATAATTATGTAATAGTTACATAATTATTATATAATAATTATATAATTATTGAGAAAGCAAAAAACCTCAACAGGTTTTTTTTTTTTTTGTACTGGGGATTGAACCCAGGACACTTAACCACTGAGCCATATTCCCAACCCTCTTTATATTTTATTTAGAGACAGGGTCTTGCTGAGCTGCTTAGAGCCTAGCTAAGTTGCTGAGCCTGGCTTTGAACTTCCGATCCTCCTGCCTTAGCCTCCTGAGCTGCTGGGATTATAGGCATGTGCTACCATGCCCAGCTCCCAACAGGATTTTATGAGAGAGAAAAGCTGAATCTAAATTTTCCAGGTTCTCTGTGAAGGRAGAATATGAGAGGCTAAGAGAACAACGTGTACTAGGGTGCTGAGGCAGTCTGTATTCCTGCTTTCTGTTTTAGTTAATTTTTTTGTTGCTGTGACCAGAAGACTTGACAAGAACAATATAGAGGAGGGAAAGTTTATTTTGGCTCATGGTTTCAAAGGCTCAGTCCATGGCTGGCCAACTCCATTGCTCAAAGCCAAAGGTGAGTCAGAACATCATGGTGGAAGGGCATGTTGGAGGAAGGCAGCTCAGTATATGGCAACAGGAAGTAGAGACGAGGTCTGCTCCCCAGAGACAAAATATAAACCCAGTGACCTACTTCTTCCAGCCACATCCTACCTGTGTACAGTTACCACCCAGTTAATTCACCAATTAGGTGAAAGCTCATAACCTAATCATTGTACCGGCAAACATTCTTGCATTGTTTCATATGAGCTTTTGAAGGACACCTCATGTCTAAACCATAATACCTTCTTTCCCAGAGTCAACAAAATATTTCTATTATCCCAGTGCTTTGTATTTATTGCACAAGAGTAAAAATTAATGAACAAACATTGAGAATAGATGTATGTTCAACAAGAAAAAGAAAATTAATTTGGCGATAAAGAGAGAGAAGAAAAACAGAAGCACTTTTCAATAAGAAGCAACATGAGTCTGGCATCTAAATCCAAAAATTATATAACCAGGACTGGAAAAAGTCCATGTTACCAGTAATATGTCTGTTTTGGGAAGAACAAGTAAAATGAGCCTGTTTAAAAAAAAAAGGCAGAAGATAAGAGTGAATTGACAATTTTTTATTTCATTAAAATAGCAGCAGTAGCTAACTATTATTGAGTGCTTGCTCTGAACTAGAAGATGTGCTAAGAACATTCTGTGGTCATTTTATGTGAACCCTAAACTGTGTGCTGTCTGCTTTTTTCCAGTGTCTTGAAGCAGAGTCCAGATGTGGAACTCTCCTTCCCACAGCATCCACAGAACTCCAACCTCTTTAGTGGTGTAAAGAGGGGAACGTTGTTTCTTAGTTCATACCGGGTAATTTCTACTTCTCCTTTGACCTGCCAATTAATTCTATGTTTGTTTTTTTGAAAACTGGATGGAACTTAAACTGTGACTTTCATAGAGTTTTCAAACATTTGCACTTTGAGATTTTGCATGTTAAAGAGAGATGGAAGAAAACAGGTGATGTTCTTTGGATGCCAGAATGACCTTGCTCTTAGGAGTCTGAATCTATGGAGGAATTCTGCGTCCTTTCCCAGAGTTTCTTTTCTCACTTAGGTGATTTTCGTGACTTCACGCTCAGTCAGTGATCCCATGCTGTCCTTTATGATGCCGTTTGATCTGATGAAGAACTGCACTGTTGAACAACCACTCTTTAATGCCAACTACATTCAAGGGACTGTTCATGCAGCTCCAGATGGTAAATCTTTCACCTCAGGTGTTTTTCTTTTTTCCCTCAAAAGATTCTAAATGTTCTAGAAGGCTAAGATTCAGACATGGTTCATGTTGGAATTCATGAAGCTGCCCTGCTTCTTTGAATATTGCTTCCTCAGTGACTGTGGCCATCCTTCTGTTGCCAGCTGTGTCAGTTCTCTTAGTAACTGTGTGTGCCCTTTCTTCCCACAGGTGGCTGGGAAGGACAGGCTACTTTTAAATTAGTCTTCAAAAAAGGAGGTGCCATCGAATTTGCTGAGTTGCTGATACAAGCTGCYGCTGCTGGTGAGCTTTGCTGATAAAGCTATTAAAGAGTGTGGAGTTTGAAGGAATTGAAGTAGGACTGTTAGCCAAAATTTGCTGGCCTCTATGATCAGGCAGTTGGTATTTGCACATGTATTCAGCAGGCATTTCCTGGACTTACCTAATGTGTGCCAAGTCCCATAATTTGTGTTGGGAACACAAAGATTATTCTGTCCCTTCCTGTCCTGAAGGAGCTTTCAGTTAGACACCCGCAAGCCTAATTATACCTGATAGTATTTGTTCTTTAGATACTGGTTTCACGGACCTTTTGAGTGGTCTCTTCTCTTGGTCAACCCCAGGTGGCTTAGCTTTTCTGCCTCTGGCATGACTTTTGATCTTCCCTGCTCTCTGTGGCCTTGTCTTTGCTTCTTTCAGCTTTAGTCTTTGTCTTCCATGAGAGGGGAGTATAGGTACTCACTACCCTGCAGCACTGATTTAATAGATGTACCAGAAAACTCTTTCAAACTTTGACTACAAATATTCCTTTTATGATGTATTTTTATTTAATTTAGCCTCTCTCCAGGTCACTTACTCTCTCAACTTTTTTTTTGTACCAGGGGTCTAACCCAGTAGGTTTAATTACTGAGCCACATCTCCAGTCCTCTTTATTTATTTATTTTTAAATTTTGAGACAGTGTCTCACTAAGTTGCTGAGACTGGCTTTGAACTTGCTATCCTCCTGCCTCAGCTTCCCAACTCATGGGATTACAGGTGTGTACCACCATGCCTGGATTCTCTCAACTCTTATACTAGAATTATACTTTCAATAAGACTAGACTTCTTTGTGTCTTATTCTCTTATCTCTGAACCTTAATACTTTTTGTTTTATCTAGAATGCTCTTTCCCTTCCTCCCTTGCCTTCTACCCCCAACTTCAATCTAGTTGAGGCAAACACAATCTATTAGAGACAGATATATGCAGATACATATTATATTTTATGGCATGAACATATAGTATTAGAGACTTAAAGAAGGATGATATGAAGTTTCTTTCAGAAGACTAAATAGATCATGATGCTATAAACGACGGTCAACAATACGAGTCAGGGCTGGGGTTGTGGCTCAGAGGTAGAGCACTTGCCTAGCATGTGTGAGGAACTGGGTTGGATTCTCAGCACCACATATAAATAAATGAATAAAATAAAGGTTCATCAATAACTAAAAGATATTTAAAAAGAAGGATGATATGAAGTTTCTTTCAGAAGACTAAATAGATCATGATGCTATAGACCATGGTCAAGAATATGAGTCAGGGCTGGGGTTGTGGCTCAGTGGTAGAGTCCCCTCCTAGCATGCATGARGCACTGGGTTTGATCCTCAGCACCACATGAATGTAAAATAAAGCTATTAGAAAAAAGAATATGAATCAATCTAACTGGAGACAAAATGAGTTCAATTTTAGAACCTAATTACATTGATTAACACTTATTGAATATCTACCATATATTGTGTAGTCTTCCAAGCCCCTTTATACGTGTCAACTTATTTAACCCTTATAAAAATCTTATGATGTAGGTATTATCATTATCTATACTTATAGATGGGGAAACTGAGTGAATGATGCTTATATAATTTYCCAAGACTATACTGTTAGCAAAAACTCAACCTGTCCACCCCCCTCTCCTTTAAACTTCTTATTATAAAAATAGATCTAGGGGCTGGGGTTGTGGCTTAGTGGTAGAGCACTTGCCTAGCATTTGTGAGGCACTGGGTTCGATTCTCAGCACTCACATAAATAAATAAAGAACCATTGGCAATTTTTTTAAAGTATTTTTTTAATTGTAGATGGACACAGTATTTTTTTTAAAAGAGAGAGAGAATTTTTAATATTTATTTTTTTAGTTTTTGGCGGACACAACATCTTTGTTTGTATGTGGTGCTAAGGATCGAACCCGGGCCGCACACATGCCAGGCGAGCGCACTACCGCTTGAGCTACATCCCCAGCCCCCACAATATTTTTATTATTCTTTTTTTATTTGTTTATTTTTACATGGTGCTGGGGACCGAACCCAGGCCTCACACATTTAAGGCAAGTGCTCTACCACTGAGCTACATCYCCAGTCCCAAGGTCCATTGGCAATTTAAAAAATAAAAAATAAAATAGATCTAGGGGCTGGAGATATAGTTCATAGGAAAGCACTTGCCTCATAAGAATGAGGTCCTGGGTTCAACCAACAGCACCAAAATAAAAATAAAATAAATAAAATAAATCTAAAGAAAAATTTCAAGATGTTACAATGACTCCCTTTATCTAGATTTACCCCCATTATTAACATACTCTCATATTTGCTTTATAATATTCTTTTTTCTTTTTGTTTTGCTGAATGATTGCTTTTGCTGAACTATTTATAAATATTCAAGTATGATCTCCTTAGAGTAGGGTCATTCTCTTATCCTAGCTCAATGTGTTTATCAAATTCAGAAATTTTAGTATTGATATAATATTATTTAATAGTTTATATTCAAATTCAAATGATTATCTCATTACTATTCCTCATTCTAATAGAACTCCCCCTACTGGCTCTAGAATCAAATCCTGGGTCACATATTGAATTTAATTGCTCTACATCTTTTGTCTAGTTTAATCTGGAACTTAGCTCTATTTGTCTTTTATGACATTGAWATTTTAAAAAGAACATAGTTGGGTTGGGGATATAGCTTGCCTAGCATATGTGAGGCCCTGAGTTTAATCCCATCACTGTTTTTTAAAAAGGAGCTTATTGTTTTTTACAGTGACTCTCAGTTTGGGTTTGTTTCTTTCCTAATGATTATATTTAGCTCATGCATTTTGGCAAGTGTACTACATAAGTGATGTCATGTCCTTTTGACCTTATACTATTAAGCTCTGTGCCATATTAATTGTGAGGTACATGGGGATGCTAGAGGCCACTGGACATGGAGCTTGGGGGTCCCAAAATGAGCTGTATCTACAGACTCGTTTGGAAATCTTCTCACACAGATCTTCTTTGGAGCCATGTGTGCAGTGGGCTGTCTCAGAATTGAAGATAGATTCCAAGAGTCCTCAAAATTAAAGAATGGAAAGGGAAGAGAAGAGAATGGAAGATAAGGGAATGAGTGATATGCAAAAAAAAAAAAAGATTGAAAAAGGACCAAGTGAAAGGGAGGAGGAGAATCAAGTTAGTTTATTATCTGAAAGCCAAGGAGGGAGAAATTTTAAAAAAATATGGGCTGATCAGCAACTTCAGAGGTGTTTGGTAAAATGAAGACTGAGAAGTGTGCACTGCATGTGGAAATAGATTTCAGTGAAATGCTGAGGAAGGGAGATGGTAGAAGAGCCACATTACAGAAGAGGAGTGAGAACAGGTTTTACAATTACTGTAATGATGCAGGATAAAGAGAGAGGGGCTGAGGAGTTCACAAACCATACCTAGCTGCATGCTCCCTGGTGGTACAGAGGGCAGACAAGATCTGGAGCCTGAAATCAGATAACAAGGTGCCTGGCAGATGGAGGAAGTACACTGTGGGAGATTCAGGGTCAGGGGACACTTGGAAGTCTAGTCCTTGTATGTTGGAGGTGTTTGGGGAACTCAGGAAAATAGTTTACTGAGTGTTGAAATCACTCTTAGTTTGGGCCTCAGAGAACTGAGAAGAGCCTATTTTTAGAATTATGTGCTAACAGTCAGGCAACTCAACTCCTATTTGTGTTCTCATTAAGATCTGCTTCTTGGCCTGCAAAGCCAGGTGCAGAGTCTCAGCAGTTGTATAGCCACTTAGAAAGAATTTAAGCAACTTCTACAAACTTGGCCCAGTGTCTGGAACTGCTCTGGGTCTGATTAAGTTATGGCTTAAGTATTGGAAACTACCATCCCCTTCCTCCCATCCTGAGTTGGAGCTTGTGAGATAGACTCCTTTGAGACCCTTGGAGTTAACTACTAATTATGTTTTGTGATCTAATTCTGTGACCAGGAAGGATGCCCTTCCCCTCTGCAGAGTTGATGTGTCAGGGCTCACTCTCTCTTTTTTTTTTCCTTTTCTTTCTCTCTCTCTCCCTTCCTTCCTTCCTTTCTTTCTTTCTTTCTTTTTTTTTTTTTTGGTACTGGGGTTTGAACCCGGGGGCTTTACCACTAAGCCACATCCTCAGCCATTTCTACTTAAAAAAAAATTTTTTTGGTAGTTGTAGATGGACAGCATGCCTTTATTTTATTTGTTTCATTTTTATGGGGTGCTAAGGAATATTCTACACTGAGCTATAGTCCCTGGTTGTACTTTTTAAAATTTTGAGGCAGGGTCTTGCTAAGTTGCTTAGGGCCTAGCTAAGTTACTGAGGCTAGGTTTGAATTTGTTATCCACCTGCCTCAGCCTCTTGAGCCACTGGGATTATAGGTGCGTGCCACCACACCCAGTATGTAAGGGCTGTTTGATTCATGTATTTCACATATATTTATATATATATTTTTTAGTTGTAGATGGACACAATATCTTTATTTTATTTTTTTACATGGTGCTGAAGATTGAACCCAGTGCCTCATGCATGCAAGGCAAGAGCTCAACCACTGAGCTACAACCCCAGCCCTCAAATATTTTTTTAAAAAACCTAGATGAGACAATTGGGAACATAACAGTTAACAAGGCACACATAGTTCCAGCCTTTATTAAACTTATAGTCTGATGAGAGTCATATTAAAATAGGCAAACATATAAGTGAATAAAATAATTACTTATTGGAGGAAATACTATAAAAGACATATTAAGRTATTGAAAAGGAAGGTTATTTAGATAAAGAGGTTAACTCTATAATGAATTGGTTAGGATAAATGCTKCTGGCTGCTGAAAAAGATAAACCCCAAGTTAACAATGCTCAGACTGTAGATATTATGGCTTATAGAAAGGCTAATCAGCAGGGGCAAGAGAGGCACTGTTCCATATAGTCATTTGGATACCTAGGTTAATAGGATTTCTGCCATCTTCACCACTTGCTTTCCATAGCTTCTTGGGGGCARTCAGCAGAGAGGGAAAGAGAGTTAAGATTTTACCTGGGAAGTTTTCATGGGCCAGGTCTGGAACTTGTGTACATTACTTCTGGTCACATGCCTTAGCCCAGAACTCAATGTGGGAAACTGATAATGGATCCCAAAGATATATCCATATCGTAATCCTTCAGAACCTGTGAACTTAATTGTAAAAACAATGTTTGTAGATGTAATTAGTTTAAGGATCATGAAATGACAAGATCATCCTGGATTATTTTAGCAGCCCACAAATGCAGTCACAAGTGTTCTTCTAAGACATAAAGAGGGGACAGACAGAAGTGCTTTTTTCTCTACCACATTGCTGGTACATTCGTCTTTAATGGATATGTCTGGTCATCTTAATAAATCTTCATGAGGAAGTTTTTTTCTCAATCTCTACTATGATAGATAGAGACCTTGAATAATCATAGAAAAATGAGACACAATCTATCTCAAAGCATATAATTCAGGATAGTGTCATATATATTTTTTTTATCTCATATCCCAGGAGTCTTGTGGGACATACATGTGAAATGGTGTTTAATGCTGTTGATTATTCAGTTGATTGCTGCTATGTATCTGACTTACAAAAATTAAAAGAGTTCCTATTTTACCATATTTGTCTTCACAGCTGCCCGGGGAACTCCACTTCGAATTATGAATTACTGGATCTCCACTCCAGGAATTTATGTTGTTACTGGAGAGGGAAACATGTGCACTCAACAGACACCTTGTCAAGGTGAGATATGGTGGTAAGGTTATTCCTAGGAGGTGGAAAGGTATGTTAAAGGCTCACAGAYCTATTCAGTGCAGCCTTATCCCAGCTCTAATGCAGGAGAACCAGCAGAGGTTCAGGGGCTGGRAAAATGGTTGAATCCGTGACTGTTTCCAGACTGAAACCCAGTGGCAAGTCAGCTGATGACTGAGCTTGCATTTCAGGCTTAATTTTTTATTTTAGAGCATTATAGTTATACATAGTATTGGGGTTCATTTTGAAAAAAATCATACGTGCAAGGAATTTGATTTTAATCTCCATACCCCCTATCTTTTCTCCCCTTTTTTTCCCCTTATTCTCCTCCCTCCATTTTAGTGATCTTCCTTTCATTCCTTTATTTATTTATTTTTAAAAATGTTTCTTTTTAGTTGTAGTTGGACACAATACCTTTGTTTTATTCATTTTTTTAAATGTGGTGCTGAGGATCAAACCCAGTGCCTCGCACATGCTAGGCGAGTGCTCTACCGCTGAGCCACAACCCTAGCCACTATTTATTTATTTTTAATATTTTTTTTAGTTGTAGATGGACATTGTAGATGGACACAGTACTTTTATTTATTTTTATGTGGTGCTGAGGATTGAACCCAGTGCCTCACACATGCTAGGAAAGCACTCTTCCATTGAGCTATAATCTCAGCCCTATTTATTTATTTTTGATTGGTACTTTCAACATATTCCATATATAAAGATGGAATTTTCAGGCTTGATGACATACACCTATAATCCCAGTGGCTCAGGAGGTTAAGGCAGGAGGATTGAGAGTTCAAAGCTAGTCTCAGCAATTTAGTGAGACCCTAAGCAACTTAAAAAGACCCTGTCTCTAAATAAAGTATATATATATTTTAAAAAAGGGCTAGGGATATAACTCAATGGTTAAGCACCCCTGGGTTCAATCCCCAGTATATAAAAAAGAAGATGGAATCACCTTTGGTACATTTGTATATGTATATAAAGGATTTTGTTAAATTCATTCCATATTTCTTCCTGTTTCCCTTCCTTTCTTCCTCCTCCTCCTTCTTCTTCTCCTCCTTTTATTCCACTGATCCTCCCTCTATCTTCTTTCTACCACTATAACCTTTCCCCCCTTATTTTGCTTTAGCTTCTACATATGAGAGAGAACATTTGACCCTTGATTTCTGAGTCTGGCTTATTTCACTTAGCATGATTTTCTTCATTTCCATCCATTTACCAACAAATGCCATGATCTCATTCTTCTTTATGGTTGAATAAAACTTCATTGTGTATATATACCACATTTTATTGATACATTCATCTATTGACAGGCATCTGAGTTGATTCCATAATTTGGCTATTGTGAATTGTGCTGCTACAAACATTGCTGTATCACTATAATATCACTATAATATTGCTGTATCACTATAATATGCTGATTTTAGTTCTTTTAGATAAACACTGAAGAGAAGGCTAGTTGGGTCATAAAGTGGTTCCATCCATAGTTTTTTAAAATTTATTCATTTTTAAAATTTTTTTAGTTGTTGATGGATATTTATTTATTTATATGTGGTGCTGAAAATCAAGTCCAGTGCCTCACACATGCTAGGTGAGAGCTCTACCACTGAGTCACAACTGCAGCCCCCGGGATCCATAGTTTTTTGAGGAATCTCCACACTGCTTTCCATAGTGKTATAATTTGCAGCCTTCCAGTATTGTATGAGTGCATCTTCATTCCCACATCCTTGCCAGCATTTAGTATTGTTTGTTTTCTTGATAAGATGAAATCTTATGGTAGTTTTGATCTTATATCCTGTTACTTAGCCAAATTCATTTATCAGCTGTAAAAGTCTTCTGGTGGAAGTTTTTCAATCTTCTACATATAGGACTATGTCATTAGCAAACAGTGATAGTTTGACTTCTTTTCGATAGTTGAGTCATGGGGTGGTTCTATCCCTAGTGTTTTGAGGAATCTTCATACTGCTTTCCAAAGTGGTTGTATTAGTCTGCTGTCCCACCAGCAATGAACAAGTGTACCTTTTCCCCACAACCTTGCCAGCATTTGTTATTGTTCGTATTCATGATCATTGCCATTCTTGACTGCCGCAGTCTGGCTGGGCACAATTCAGGAGCCACTTGTCAAAAGAAACTAACTTTATTTTTAGAACTACAMACGCCAAACAAAACAGCCCCTCAGGAAAAAAACCCTCAGAGCCCAACTGCCACCACCAGCTTCCCACAAGCCTCTCACCCCCACACCAGCCTCTCCACCTCCCGCACTCCTCCTGCTCCTGAGGCCGATTGGCTGGGTTGCATGGGCGGAGCCAAAGAAGTCCCCCAATGAGCAGCTCCGCAGAGGAGCCAATCAGCTAGATGTTGCTGGGGCCACTGTGAGCCAATCATCAGCTGGCAGCTGGAAGTTTGCTGGCAGCTGGAAGTTTGCTGGGGCCCCTTTGGCTGTGGCTCTCAACACTTGACTAGAGTAAGAAGTTTTGCTATGATTTTGATTTGCATTTTCCTGATTTCTAGAGATTTTTTTTTCATATATTTTCATGTTTTTTCATATATTGCTAGAGATATTTTTCATATGATTTTTAATGTATTTGTGGCCATTTGTGTTTCTTCTTTTGAGAAGTTTCTGTTTAATTCTTTTGCTCAGATATTGATTGGGTTATTTATTTATTTATTTTTTTGGTGTAAGTTTTTTGAGTTCTTTATGTATTTTAGATAATAAACCCCTATCAGGGGTAGTTGGCCAAGATTTTTTCCCATCCTGTTGGCTCTGTCTTCATGTTCTTAATTGGTTCCTTTGCTGTGTAGAAGCTTTTTAGTTCTGTTGCATCTCACTTATTAATTCTTTGTTTTATTTCTTGAGTTTTAGGGGTTTTGTTAAGGAAGTTAATGTCAGCATCTATATGATGAGGTGTTGACCCTGTGTTTTCTTCTAGCATTTGCAAGGTATCTGGTCTAATTCTTAAGTCTTTGATTCATTTTTATTTGAGTTTTGTGCAGGGCAAGAGATAGGGGTCTAGTTTTATTTTTCTAAGTATAGCTATCTAGTTTCCCAGAACCATTTATTAAAAAGGCTATCTCTTCTCTAAAATACATTTTTGGCACCATTGCCAAGTATAAAATGGCTGTGGGTATGTATATTTGTCTCTATGTCTTCTATTCTGTTCCCTTGGTCTTCTTAATGGCTATTTTGATGCCAATACCATGCTGTTTTTGTTACTACAGCTCTGTAGTATAATTTCAGATCAGGTATTGTGGTGTCTCCTGCTTTGCTTTTCTTGTGTAGTATTGCTTTGGCTATTTTGGGTCTATAATTCTTCCAAATGAATTTAGGAATTGTTTTTTCTTTATTCCAGAGGAGCAAGGATGATTTAATATATGCAAATCAATAAATCTAATTAATCACATTAATAGAATTAAGGACAGAAATCACTTAGTCATCTCAGTAGATGAAAGAGAAGGCCTTTGATAAAATTCAGCAACTATTCATGATAAAAAACATAGAAGAAACTAGGGATAAGAGTAACCTATCTCAACATTAAAAGCTATATATGTTAAACCCAAAGCCAACCTCATAGTAAAAGGAGAGAAATCGAAAGCATTTTCTTTAAAATCTGGGACAAGCAAGGACGTCCATTGGCACAACTCCTGTTTAATATAGTGCTAGAAATTTTAGCCAGAACAATTAGGCAAGAGAAGGGATAAAAATAGGAAAGGAAGAAATCAAATGTTCACTGTTTGCAGATGATATGATCCTATACCTAGAATATCCAAACAACTCCACCAAAAAGACTGCTAGAGCTAATAAACAAATTTGGCAAAGTAGCAGGTTACAGATTCAACATACAAAATCAATAGCATTCCTATATATCAAGAATAAATCTGCTAAGAAAAGAATCAGGAAAACAATTCCATTCATAATAGCTTTGAAATACCAAGGAATAAATCTAAACAAGGAGGTGAAAGACCTCAAAAAGTATAGAACATTGAAGAAAGCAATTGAAGAGGACCCCAGGAGATAGAAAGAGCTCCCACATTCTTGGATGGGCAGAATTATATTGTCAAAATGACCATGCTACCAAAAGCAATATACGGATTCAAGGCAATCCCCATCAAATAACCAAGGGCATTCTTCATAGAATTAGAAAAACCATTCCTAAAATTCATTTAGGAAAATAAAAGACCCAGAATAGATGTATTAGGGTTCTCTAGAGGAACAGAATCAATAGGAAGTATAATTATAAAAAGGGAATTTATTAGATTGGCTTATATGACTAGAAGCTTGATAGTCCACAGTGGCCGTCTACAGGCTGGATATCTGGAGGAACTACTAGCTGCACAATCCAAGATGCTAAAGCCTCAGAACAAGAGGGATAAATAGTGCTATCCCAGTTCCAGACCTAATGCTCTGGAAACTCCCTGGAGAATCACTGGCATTATTCCCTTTGGAAGAGTGAAGGAGTGAGAGTCTGATATCCTCAGGTGATTGCAGCAGCAATCAWGAACCCGGTAAAGAAGAATCAAGTTTGCATCTACTGCTGCTTTCTTGTTCTTCCAACTTTATTCCACCCAAGCTGTGGGAACAGTGCTGCCCACACTTAGGGAGGGTCTCCACTTCTGTTTGCTATCTCACATGTCAATCATTACTAGACACACCCAGAAACCTCTTAGTCTTTGGCATCTCTTAATCCAATCAAATCGGCAATTCAAAACAACCATTGCAATAGCCAAAGTCATTTTAAGCCAAAAAACAATGCTCAAGGCATCACAGTACCTGACTTCAAATTATACTATAGATCTATAGTAACAAAAACTGCATTGTACTGACATAAAAATAGACACATAGACCAGAAAAGAAGACACAGACAAACCACACAGATACAGTCATCTGATTCTTGACAAAGGTGCCAAAAACATATATTGAAGAAAAGACAGCCTTTTAGACAAATGGTTCTGGGACAACTGGTTATCCATATGTAGAAGGATGAAACTACACCTTT